TGACTAGGATGCATGACAAGTTTCGTGGCTTTTTGCCACTTTTAGAATTTCCTATAATTTTTTCGGTCAGAAAACGTAAAGCACTGACCGGACGTGAAGCAACGTGCTCTTCGTTTTGAAATACGCTCACTTATTGGATTCCGTGTGGGAGTGGGCATACTGACTCACATGCAAAAATTCAGGCCATTCTGAAGATGTCAAAAAATCGACCTCCTTCTCCGGACACCATTCAGGTAGGAGCAAAGGCCCCGTTCGAAAATGAGTTTTTTCGACATCCTTCAAATGAGCCCAATTTTTTCTCTAATGTTCTATCATCATGACTAGGATGCATGACAATTAAAATCAGGTGTGACAAATTTTATCAAAATGTAGGTATTAATGAAACAAACATGCGTAAAGTGCTAAAGTATTAAAAATAAGATAGATAGTAAATATATGATTTGAGTTTACAATGCTCAGGTAACACTACCACAGCCCGTGCGGTGCAAAGTCAATCCATATTTTTAGTAACTATCTTATCTGGTAGGATGCATGGAACCGCCTATTTAAGCCGGTCAGGGCACCCTTCGACGGGCGAGGTGGGACTAAAAACTACGGCGCACACCGCCCCCTGCGCCTCTGTGCCCCGTACCGCCCGTGCGCGCCTCTCAAAGGCGGCCCAACCGGCCCACAACGTCCCTTTACGCCCTTTCTTAAGTTTTCTATTTTCTTTCCTAATGTTTAACTCATTTTTTATTTTGAAAAATTATTTTAATTCTATCTATTTTTCTAATATTATTTCATATTTTTATTGCTTCACTTTTATGTACTTTCTTTCATTTTTATAATTTTTTCAGTTCAACATTACTTCTGTTTTAATTTTAATTTTTTTAACAGAATCTTTTCATAATCTTTGGTAATATGATTTATTTTCCACCTTTGTTTGTTTTTTATTTCCTTTCCTAATGTTTATATTTTTTTGCATTCAAAATTTAACTCATTTTTTTGCTTCATTTATATTTTTTTGTTTCATTTTTATAATTCTTTCAATTCAACATTACTTCTGTTCTAAATTTTTTTAAGAGAACAATTTCATTGTTTTTGATACTATTATTTATTGTCCACCTTTGTTTCGTTTTTTATTTCCTTTTCTAATTTTTAGATTTTTTTAGTTCTAACTTTAACTCATTTCTTTTTTTAAAATTTATTTTCATTCTACTTTGCTAATAATATTTAGCTATCCTCTTTTTTTTTCCTTTTTTATTTTCTATCCTAGTTTTCAATCTTTTTTGCAAACATAATAGTATTAATTCGAACATTCAATTTGCAAACAATAATTTAAACCCATGTAAACACACTCGACATTTCAGCATAGTTTTCATAAATATTTTACATAATACTAGAAATTAAACTTGACTCAACTAAACAACATTAGGAAAATAATTAAACATTACTAAACGTTATTTCAAAAATAACCTAAACTAAACTACTCGTCCTCGACGCTGCCAAAGTCCATCTCGTCATAGAGCCCATCGCCGTCGTCGCCGTCGTCGCTGCTGCTGTCGTCCAGGTCCACCACCGGCGCGGCTGGCGCAGCCATCGAGTCGGCCACATCGGCGTGGTAGCCGGGGAAGTCCGGCGGGTCCTCCAGGTGGACGGCGACCGGGGCAAGATGCATGTACTCCTGCACAAGGGGTGGCGGCACCGAGGCGTTCTCTGACTCCCGGATCGCCGTCAGGTAGCCCAGCATGTCCTCCGGGTCGCCGGCCTCCACCGCCAGCCGCCTGTACTTGGCCAGCAATGCCGGCTCAGGTTCCGGCACCGGCTCTTGCGGAGGGTTGCAGCTGGACCCGGCGCCATCCCGCGCGCGCGTGCGACGATCGCCACCGCGGTCACCGGCGAGGGCCCACGAGCGGCGCCGGGGGCCGGCCGACGTTCATGCGCGCGCCCATGATTTCGCGGGTGGACCTAGCCTCGCCGCGGCGGAACAGCGTGTAGCCGTGCCCCGGCGGAGTGGGCACGGCGCCGACGGCCGCCTACGCACGGTACGACGCGACGACCTCCTTGAACGTGCGCCCGTCCCAGAGCTGATGCTGCCGCGCGTGGTTGTGTTTCATCAGCGGGTGCGGGCCGGCGTACGCGTGGAGGCGACGCAGGTGGTCGTCGGCGAGGCGGTCCGCCCAGCCGGGGTTGTTGGGGGCGTACTGGGGGTCGGCGAGCTCCTTCGGCGAGAGGCGCGCCCAGTACATGCCGATGGCGCGGGCGAAGAGGTGAGTGCCAACCTCGGGCACCGGCGCCACCGGCACGCCGTCGACGCTCAGGCGCCACCTCGCCAGGAGGCGCACGTCGGGAGCGGCGGGGATGACGAAGTGGGCGAGCTCCTCCGCCTCCTCGAGGGTCAAGGTGGAGCGGGCCATCGCCGGTGAGAGGGAGAGGTAGGGCACAAGAGGGGCAACGCCGGTGGCAGGGGGAGAAGGAGAGGGGAGGCGAGGGGCGGTGTGATAGCCGCGGCGGGGCGAGGCGTGTTGGGCGGGGTGGGTGCCGGCGATCAATGCCAGGGCCAGCCGAGCGGTCAAGGGTGCAGAAGGCCAGGCGGCGGCGTGTGAATCGGCGCCGGCCATTAATGCCGAGCTGTCAAAGGCGCAGGAGGCCAGGCGTCGGCGTGCGCGGGCGGTCAAGCGGTGGCGTGCGCAGGCGGGGCGTCGGGCGGTGGCGTGTGAATCGGCGCCGCCCGCAGACCGACACCACCGACAGGACGTCTCACTGCGCCGACGTTAATGGATTCCCATGCCGTACCACGCCGGATTAATGTATTAGCCTAATTAGGGTTTAGTACCTGTGGGACCGCCCTCCTCCTCACGCGGCGTACACCGCCCACGTACGGGCGTACAGCGGGCCGTACAGCCACGTACGGTCATGCGCCTCGCTACGCCGCGGTACGCCGCCCCAAACTTAATTTCCCATCCTACCCCTACTCACTTATCCTCATGAAGGGGTATCTTCTAATCTCGACCGTTGATGTGTCCAGGGGGGTTGTACCGAAGAAGAAGTGAGAACAAGAACGTTGATACACAAGGTAAGCACAAGCCTTTGAGAGCAGTCTGCTTGGCAGAACAATTAATTAACCTCTAGAAGCAGAAGAAGCACGTTGATAGACAAGTTATTATGAAGCACCAACCTTGAGAGAGGTCTGCTTGCGCAAGATATCATTGGACTTGAACATGACTGCGGCAATCCAGATCACGACGAAGAAACCTACACAATATAAACTCAATTGGAATGAGGAACTGGCCATCATCTTCTGACCAAGAGGCATCAAGTACCTAGACAAAAAAGTAAGAGCATAATAAGATACAATGTATGCCGGTGGACATGTTTAACAGCAAGAAAACTACCCTATGAATAGCATAGTTAAATGTGATTCCTCCTAGTAGTATCTGTTCTATTATTCATAGTGATGAGAGCCCGAGACTATGTCAATAATGTCGAGAAAGAAAAGGCCTCCAAAATGTAGCATTTTTTCAGTAGCAAGATTTTCTTTTCGGAAATAGGTTTATCCGAGGGGTGTTGACCTTCGTCACATACTGTAATACAGGCTCTTCATTTGTTTTTGAAAGACTTGAGATTACTGTTGGTGCTAAAACAAAGCCCACCAAAACCCTCTTTCAGCTAAAATACCAATTCATGTACTAGCTAGCATCACTAGTTAAGCAAACAGATTTATCACTTGTAGCAGCGCTTACCAAATTGCCACGGCAGCAGAACCCCAGCCATATGAGTACCCTGTCTTAAATCTAGACTTTACCAATTGTGCAACTGACATTGAGATTTCAGAGGGCGGGCGCAGCAGAATGGCAAGTGCTATACCTTCACATCGGGGTCCCTGAGGTTGGCGTGCAGCCACTCGGCGGACACGATAGGCTCAGTCCGCGGCACCGTGTGGACGACGCCCGACGCGGCGTTGGCGGTCTCCGAGATGGCCGACGACGTGGCATTGAAGCGCGCGGCGATCCCGAACCGCGTTATCAACGGCAACAGCGACGCCCCGCACCCAACCTCCGCCGCACGCGCCCATCCGACCCTGCCCTGCAAGTTTCCAAGAGGCGAACACTATCAGAGCATCTCCAACAGCCGCGCCAAAAGAGGCGCGCGCGGGGTAAACCGAGTTCTTAGCGCGCACGGGACGTTTCGGCGTGCTCCAGCGGTGGCGGGAAACTAGCGCGCGAGGGAATCATTTGCGCGCGCGGGGGAAAAGGCGGCAACTCCCGCGCTATTTTTGGCACACCGCTTCCGGTGCACCTTTAAAATGCGGCGCTCGCCACACGCCTATTCCACACTTCTCTTCCTCTTCCGCTGCCACGCGCGCCTCCCCCGCTTCCTCATTGCTACCTTGCCGCTCCAGCGCCTCGCCACCGACGCGCCACCATGCCGCCGCGCTGCAGAGGAGCATCGGGCTACCGCGGTGTCCGCCAGCGCCCCAACATCTGGTACTACTCCAAGATACAGTCCGGCGACCTCCGGCTCGGCCTCGGCACCTTCGAGACGGCGCATGAGGCCGCCCGCGCGTACGACGCGGCGGCGTGGCGCCTAGGCAGGCTGTGCCCGCAGATGAACTTCCAGGACATCTACACGCTCCAGCAGGCGCTGGACGTCGCCCCGCCGCCTCATCTTATCTCGGCACAAGACCGTGCGGAGCACACTGAGCGGCAGCGCTGCCTCCTCGTCGACGCGGAGGACGAGCGGGTCATGGCGGATTGGCGTCGGCGCCACCCGAAGGACGTCGCCGACGAGCAAGCCTACCAGGCGGAGCAGACAGCAAAGCGCCGCGCAGACCGGTTGGACAGGCGTAGGCGGAAGGCTCTAGCGTTATCGCAGTGTGAGATTGTTGAAAATGGTGGGCAGTCATCTTTTCGGATAATGATCCTCGTTGGGACGACATGTGGCTCGATACCTCGGACCAGACCAGTGAGGATGACAGTGATGATGATGATGACGACTGGGAGTAGGTTGTAGTTTTATCTAGTTGCACTATCTAGTAGTTTTTTATGTCGGTGTAGTTTTATGTCGTTGCACCGTAGTTATCTATCTATGCTTTAGAACTATGTAAAATATCTATGTATCGTTTATCTATGAATGTAAAATATCTATGTGCCTGCGATAGCGCGTGCTGCATTTTAGTGCGGCTACTAGAGCGGCACGCGCGTGCTGCATTTTAGCACGGCTGTTGGAGCCAGCGCTACCGGCCGCGCAAAACCAGGCGAAGGGCGCGCGGCAAAGTAGTTTTTAGCGCGCGGCACGTAGCGCGGTTGTTGGAGATGCTCTCAGACCTGGCGGATCGAGGCGGTGGTTGCAACGGTATGGTTATGACCGCGGGGAGCGTGCCGACGGCGGTGGCGAGGAGGATTAGGAGGAGGATTAGGAGGAGCGGGAGGAGGAGGGGAGGAGGAAGGGGGGTTTCCTTGGGGAGGAGCCGGGTGCCGCCGCGGAGGGCGAAGGCGGCCGAGGCGGCGTGCGAGAGGAGCGAGGCCACCATGGGTGGGTAGGGTTCTGGCCTCAGGGGGTTCTAGAAGGTTCGAGGGGGAGTGATGGGTGGGAATGGGGGATGGGAGGGGGAAGGGAAGAAGAGGCGGCGATGGGCTGGCTGCCGTGGAGGTGAGGTGGGGTGGGTGTTGATGTTGACATGGTGGGGTAAAACTGTGGTTAACCGGCCGGAAAGGGAACCCCCACCCCTCTTTGCCGTCTGCCAACAGATGGCAAAGAATCTTTGTCGTCTGCCAGCAGACGACAAAGAGGAAGGGTGGCCCATTGCAGTGTACTGGCATCCAGTGGACCCCACCAGCACCTCTTTGCCGTCCGCTGGCAGACGGCAAAGATTCTTTGCCATCTGCCAGCAGATGGCAAAGAAATGACAAATGGCAAAGACCTTCTTTGACGTCGGTTGTTTGGTAGCTGATGGCAAAGACCTTCTTTGTCGTCCGCAAGCAGACGACAAAGAACTGGCAGACGGACAAATCCCTGATTCCAGTAGTGGGTGATGGTCTTGGCCTTGGTGATGGTCGCGGCCTTGGTGGTGGACTTGTCCGTGGTGATGGTTAAGGGCAAGGTCGTTATAAAGGAATGTTTGGATACCTTGATGGACCATTTTCGTATGTTGCTAACTAACTATAATGTTTCATATGTTCTTGTTTTTCGTATGTTCTTATTGTCTTTACTAACCATTATGTTCCACTCATTGTAGGTATGGAGGCTTCTCAACTAAAGAAGAAGAAGGAAGAGGAGCTTGAAGAGAAGAGGAAGGAAAGAGTGAGAATGGATAATGAGTGTCGCGCTAGGGAGCAAGCCTTGGTGAGGAAATGTGAGGAGGCACAGAAGAAGCGTCAAAAGAACCAAGCTTTGGGCAATTGCAGCTAAAAAAAGAGAGAGAGGGAGAATCAGATATTCATGGAGAGGGTGGTTAAGGAGGCTCACCGGATAAGGAAAAGGGAGGAGGAGGAAGAAGAGAGGAGGAAGAAGAAGGGAATGGGGCCTTGCTCTACGCAATAGAGCTATGTCATCTTCAACTTGCTTGTGGATGATGACCGTGTTATCCTCTAAACTATGCTCTTTGATTTGGTTGTGAGCTACTATGTGTCATGAATTACTATGTCTCCTCCTCGATTTGGTTGTAAACTACTATGTGTCGTGAAGTACTATGTATTTCCTCCTTGATTTGGTTGTATGAACTACTCCTCAAGTTGAAGTACTATGTGTTATGAACTACTATGTGTCATGAACTACTATGTTGTATGAACTACTCAAGTTGTTCGCTTGCTATGTATCAATCATACTTCACATCATCATACTATGTGTGCATATGCCAAAAAAATTCACTAAGTCCAAGTGCAACGCCTAGCTCTTGGGCATTGCACTGTTGGGTGTGGAGCCTCCAAGCTAGGCATTACACCACCCTGTAACTTGCAAAGTTTCTGTTACTCTCTGGACAGCTCTTTCCAGGCGTGCAACGCCTCTGAGCTAGGCGTCACACTGCTTCATGTGATGCCTAGCTCAGAGGCGTTGCACGCCCGGGAAGAGCTGTCTAGAGAGCAAAAGAAACCTTAAAAGTTACAGGGTGGTGCAACGCCTAGCTTGGAGGCACCACACCCAGTAGTGCAACGCCCAATAGCTAGACGCTGCACTGCTTGGTGTGGCGCCTCCAAGTTAGGCATTGCACCACCCTGTAACTTGCAAAGTTTTTGTTGCTCTCTGGACAACTCTTTCCAGGCGTGCAACGCCTCCGAGCTAGGGCGCCTGGCGCCCTAGCTCGGAGGCGTTGCACGCCTGGAAAGAGTTGTCCAGAGAACAACAAAAGCTTTGCATCCACTTTGGGGCGAAAAATTCGCTAAGTGTTGGTGTGGCGCCTAGCCTGGAGGCGCCACACTGTACAGTGCAGCGCCTAGCTTGGGGGCATTGCACTATACAATGTGGCGCCTCCACGCTAGGCGTTGCACCACCCTGTAACTTGCAAGTTTCTGTTTCTCTCTGGACAGCTCTTCCCAGGCGTACAACGCCTCCGAGCTAGGCGCTGCATTGCTTCATGTGACGCCTAGCTCGGAGGCGTTGCACGCCTGGGAAGAGCTGTTCAGAGAACAACAGAAGCTTTGCATCCACTTTGGGGCGAAAAGTTCGCTAAGTGTTGGTGTGGCGCCTAGCCTGGAGGCGCCACACCATATAGTGCAGCGCCTAGCTTGGGGGCGTCACACTATACAATGTGGCGCCTCCAAGCTAGGCGCCACACCAACACTTAGTGGTTTTTTCTCCCTCAAACTGGGTCATGTCAGGCACAATTTCAGTCATGCATCACAGAATAAACTGGGTGATGTCAGGCACACCTCTTCAACTTCAACAAAGACAACATTTCTTAGAGTGAGCATCACTTCAAGTTCAACATTACTAAGACATACGATCACTTCCAGTTCAATATTACTAAGAGCTACCACCACTCCAGGTTCAACCACATGACAAGTTTGACATAAGAAAAACACCCACTAGGCGAGTTACATAACAAATAGAGGACGACTAGTTCCTTGTGAGCTTTTTGGCTCCTCCCCCCTCCGATTTGATATCTTCTTTGCCTTCCTAGGAAGAGCAACACGCTCTGGCTCCGGCTCCGGTTCCTCCGCGTCATCCACATAGTCATCCAAAGCCGCCATCCGCGAGGTGTCGACCATCCTTTTGTCTCTTTGGGTGAAGTCTTCAGGTGTGTATTTATTGATTCCCTTCCTAGGCTTTAACTCGTATGCTGACCGAACTTGATAGGTCCCCAAGGCATTCCATCAG